GGCTCCCCCCCCCGCGAACCCTCTGGTTTACCAGAAATGCCACCAGTGCCCCCGAGAGCGGCCTGCTGCCAAAGGCGCCAGGCGAGGCCGGGAGCAGAGCGCCTGCCTTTCAAGAGAAGCCCTGCCGCACAGATCACAAGAGCTGGGGCTTAAAGCAGCCATTGAGCAGACAGGGTCAGAGGTCACTGGGGTTACCAGCTCTGGTCTCTGGAGAAGCCAAGAAACCTTTAACCCAGGATCTGGGAGCCAGGGGCGGAGACTGGGATCTGCGGGCCCCAAGGAGGGGAAGCCTGTGTACTCAGTGTACCCCAGTGCACTCTCCGGCCCTTCAGCTGCCCTTCTCAGCCGCCGCCGCTCCCAGGAGCAAAGGGGCTCGCTTTCCAAGAGCAGCATGAGCTACGGTGCACTTACCCCCGCCCAGGACGAGAGTCGCCAGCTGCCACTGGAGAACGTACTTCAGACACTTGCCAATCCCCACCGGAGTCATGTTGAATGAGCACATGGGGTCCCCAGCGATCGTATCTGCGCCCAGCTGGAGGACTACTGCTTCCGGGTTGAACGCCGTGTACACCTCCTTCAGCACACTGCAGGCAATAAACCAAAGCCGAGTTGCCCACAGGGCCAGAGACAGCTAACCCACCCCTTTACTCAGCCTTTCCAACCGCTGGCCAGGGTTTGCAGTCTGAGCAAAGGACTTTCCTGTTTCCCAGAACACCGCTCTGGTCAGGCCTGGACTCTGCTCTCAGTCCCACGGTACACTAACCGGGCCTATAGGCAGTAAAGAAAGGGGCGGGCAGGGATTCTGCAGTACCAGATACACCAACAAAGATCCAGCCAGCGGCTCCAAAAATGTGGTCCACAGATCACCCGTGGGAAGAAATCGCTTCTGCTTCAGCAAAGAGGGAGAAAGCTAAACGCAGATCTCCCTGGACCCCATGTGACAAACTAGGAAGCTGGTTTTGGGGAAGACTCCTTCCTGACAACCACCTCACGTTTCCCTGCGGGTCAGCAGGCGCATCAAGCGTCGGCAGAACTCCAGCCGCGGCTGCACTAGCGCGTGGGCGCAGAACGGGGCAAGCCTCAGCCGTGTTAGCGTGTGGCTGCAAACACAAGGAGCCGGGCAGCACTGTAGCGACTAGCCCATCTGAGCAGGAGCTTCCGTGGGGAAAAAGCACTTAGTCAGCTGCACCCCACCACGTGGCTTTTCCCAGGCAAGCTGGTGCCCGAATACAGCTGCTAGTCCCTAAGGTGCCCCAGGGCTCCTCGCTGTGACACGTGGACAGTCCAAGTGAGCTGCACAGGCCTGCAGGACCAAGGCCCGGGTGAAAGCACTACTTCCCTCCTCGGCGTGGGCTTGTCTCCCTGGGGCCAGTTCGCACCGTGCTGGGGGCCATGCAGGCACTGCTGCTGCACACGCACTGTCCCGAACGCACTCGGATCTTCTGCCGGGCAGCTTGCAGCGTGCAGCAACTTCAAGCAGGAAGCACACAGCAGACGCCCCTTCCAGGGGCTGGAGCGTGCAGAGTCTGCCAGGCCACGAGTGGCCAGTCCAGCGCCGTGCCAAGGGTGACAAGCTCAGGGAGCAGCCCAGCCCGGCCAAGCTGGGGTCAGCTACCTGCACTTACAGCCCATCAGAGGAGCGTGGCCTGGCCTGGGGGCGTGTCTAGAGGCCTCCGTCCCAGGGCTCTCAGACCAGCATCTTTCAGCAGCTCTAAATTCACTCCCAGCACGGACGTGGCCGAGGATAAGTGCCCCTTTGTTCCATACAGAAAGGGCAGAAGAATGGGGCCTCCTGACTGGCATGCAGCTGGGAAGGGAGGGGGAGGAAACCTCTCCAGTGTCTCGAGTGAAAGATGAATGGAAACCAGAATGCCATGAGCAGGGATGAGGCAGACCCAGGAAGGGCTGGAGGCGTCAGACCTTCTCCTAGCTAGCCACGGGTGAATCTCAGCACGCTTTGTGGTTTTGAAACGTTTCGAAGAGTTCCCAACGTCTGGGCTTCTCTTCAAGCATTTACCTTGCCCGCTGAAAAACGAGCAACGGAATCGTCCCCAACCTTCCCGGGACAGCGCCCCGAACCCCCAACCATGGCCCCCCCACTCTCCTCCCACCTGCCACAGCACCCAACCTCACAGGCTGGCTCTGCCTCTCCCGTAGCCGAACCAGATCCTCATCTGACCGTGGGATGCTAAATAGCGGTTAATTGAACAGTCACGTACCCTCCTGAATTCTGATTGGTTAGTCGACTGTTCTATAGTCCACGGGCAGGGCCGGCAGCCGGTGTGCTCTGGCCCCACTCCCAACAAGCCCCCTGCCACAGCAGCGCGAGGGGCCAGCGGGAGCTGGTCCACAAGGGGAGCCCGCTGAAAAACCAGCTCCCCTCACAGACCGGCTGCCTGTCGCCCAGTGCTGCCTCTGATACAGAGGCAGCAGTGTGGGGTGGCAGCAGCCCATCGGCGGGGGGTGGAACGCTGTTCAGTAGACCCTATGGGACGCCTATGGGGGCAGGCAACTGACCATCACAGAACATCCTCCCCACAAACATGTTTTCCTGGCACCAAGACAAAAGGGACTGCGTGGAGAATGGGCTCTCTTCTCACTCCAGGAGCCGTCTCCCTAGTGCCGGGCGAGGCACACTCATTAGGACGGGGGCCAGGGAAAGCCCTGAAAACGAAGCTGCCCCTGGCACCCAACCCTAACCCTGCACCATCTTCAACCCAGGGAAGGGGCTGGGCAACCGCACTCTGCCCCGGGCCCCGCCTCCCTCTGCCTCCTTCCACCCAGCTTTGCTGGTCTCTGGCAGCCTTCAGCTACACTATTGTAAGGACCTATCAGACTTGTAAAAGATCAAAGGTCCTGCCTCGGCCTCCGCGCCACACTGCAGCAATTACTAACAATGACATTGAACCGGGTTCAGAGCTGCCCTACACAATTATCCAAACGCCATACCGCCCGGGAGCAGGCAGGAGTGTCTCTTCTAACACATTACCAAGACAGTTTCCCCAATTATCACCTCTAATACCATTAACTCACAAACATCCCACTCTCCCTACCTTTAATATCAGCAATTCACAGACACTTACCTTCCTTCCTCCCCCTTCCCACCCCCCCGCATCCCCCTTCTGTTCTGCAATGTGATTTGTCCTTTTCATATGTGTTCATTTTTTAAAATTGTATCCTTTGGTATATATGGTTGTGACTACTTTCTTCCACTATTTGATCTGAGGAAGTGGGTCTGGCCCACGAAAGCTCATCACCTATTAAACCATCTTGTTAGTCTTTAAAGTGCTACATTGTCCTGCATTTTGCTTCTTCTAACACAGAAGCGTTCACACACGTGCACTATTATTTAGAGAGGCCAGTTCAAAGTGCACATGGTTTAACGCCCTTTTTATTCCTTTATCTCGTTGTGCTGCAACAGATCCGTCCTAGAGGATGAGGAAGGCTGTTGCCGCCAAGACGGAGGAACGTGGCATGGGTCTGCCTCACTTCTTACTGGGACTCGGCTGCGGGAAGGCCGAAGAGCAAGCGCGGAGTCTGGCTACTGGCCAGAGGAAAAGCGGCCAATGAGCAGGGCCCGTCTCGCCAGCAGGGGTCACTGGTGAGAAAAATACAAGGAAATACTTGGCAGAGGGAGTAGTCCCGTTTACAGAATTCATTGTCTCAGAAGGTCGCAGGAGCCAACCCATGCCTGCTTGGGAAATGGATAATTGACTCCATGGTTATTGTTCTAGCTCTGAAAAAAAAGGCAGACGGAAGGGACCTTTTAGCTCCTTTAATGCTCTCCAGGGCAAGCCAAGGTTTTCCCACTTAGTACATTTGACTTCACAACTGTTTTATCAGGAGATTTTCAGTGTGCTCTGTTTGAATAGTTTTACATTCGGGTTTAAATCCCAACCTGAGTCACAAGTAAAACAAGGGGTGGGGCCCTTACTGGATGAGGGAGGTAACCTAGTGACAGATGACGTGGGGAAAGCTGACGTACTCAAGGCTTTCTTTGCCTCTGTCTTCACGGACAAGGTCAGCTCCCAGACTAATGCACTAGGCAACACAGTATGGGAAGGAGGCGGGCAGCCCTCGGTGGGGAAAGAACAAGTTAGGAACTATTTAGAAAAGCTAAACATGCACAAATCCATGGGTCTGGACTTAATGCATCCGAGGGTACTGAGGGAGTTGGCAAATGTCATTGCGGAGCCTTTGGCCATTATCTTTGAAAACTCGTGGAGATTGGGAGAGATCCTGGATGATTGGAAAAAGGTAAATGTAGCGCCCATCTTTAAAAAGGGAAGAAGGACAATCCAGGGAACTACAGACCAGTCAGTCTTACCTTAGTCCCTGGAAAAATCATGGAGGGGTCCTCAAGGAATCCATTCTGAAGCACTTGGAAGAGGGGAAAGTGATCAGGAATAGTCAACATGGATTCACCAAGGGAAAGTCATGCCTGACCAACCTGATTAGCTTCTATGATGAGGTAACTGGCTCTGTGGACGTGGGAAAGTCAGTGGATGTGATAGACCTTGACTTTAGCAAGGCTTTTTATACAGTCTCCCACAATATTCTTGCCAGCAAATTAAGGGAATATGGATTGGATAAATGGACTGCAAGATGGATAGAAAGCTGGCTAGACTGTCGGGCCCAGTGGGGAGTGATCAACGGCTCCATGTCAGGTTGGCGGTCGGTTTCTAGCGGAGTGCCCCAAGGATCTGTTCTAGGGCTGATTTTGTTCAGCATCTTTATGAATGACCTGGCTGAGGGGATGGATTGCACCCTCAGCAAGTTTGCAGATGACACTAAGCTGAGGTAGAGGTAGATACGCCGGAGGGCAGGGATAGGGTCCAGAGGAACCTAGACAGATTAGAGGTTTGGGCCAAAGGAAATCTGATGAGGTTCAACAAGGGCAAGTGCAGAGTCCTGCCCTTGGGAGGGAAGAATCCCAAGCATTGGTACAGGCTGGGGAACAACCAGCTAAGTAGTAGTTCTGCAGAAAAGGCCCTGGGGGTTACAGTGGATGAGAAGCTGGATATGAGCCAACAGGCGCCCTTGTAGCCAAGAAGGCTAATGGCATATTCGGGTGCATTAGGAGGAGCATTGCCAGCAGATCCAGAGAAGTGATAATTCCCCTTTATTCGGCTCTGGTGAGGCCACATCTGAAATATTGTGTCCAGTTCTGGGCCCCCCCACGATCGAAAGGATGTGGATGCATTGGAGAAGGTCCAGCGGAGGGCGACCAAATGGGGCTGGAGCATACGACCTATGAGGGGAGACTGAGGGATTTGGGTTTGTTTAGTCTGCAGAAGAGCAAGGGGGGATTTGAGAGCAGCCTGCAACTTCCTGAAGGGAGGTTCCAAAGAGGATGGAGAGAGGCTGTTCTCAGTGGGGGCAGGTGGCAGAACAAGGAGCAATGGGCTCAAGTTACAGAGGGGGAGGTCTAGGTTGGATATTAGGAAAACTATTTCCCTAGGAGAGTGGTGAAGCACTGGGATGGGTTCCCTAGGGAAGTAGTGGAATCTCCATCCCTAGAGGTGTTTAAGTCTCGGCTTGACACAGCCCTGGCCGGGTTGATTTAGTTGGGATTGGTCCTGCCTTGGGCAGGACTTGATGACTCCTGAGGTCTCTTCCAGCTCTGTGATTCTATGAATTTGATGGCCCCTTCCCTACTCCTGGTTGGATGTTTATTGCAATCCTGAAATCACCTTGTCCACTGACTCCGCATGCTCAGAAGTGATCCACGACCGGAATACTGGAGGTGGTGGGGGAGGTCCGGTCGTTCATAGGTCTGGACAGACATGTATTGACAGGGCTGATTTGGGAAGCTTGCACAAGGACTGCTGATGGTGTGTCTTGAGCTAGCAACTGGTGCAACTCCTGACTTTCACAAGCACTAGTGCTAGCCTGACACACAACTGCATGCAGCAGCACCCTCAGATTAATCGCCTTTACACAAGAGCAGGCCCTCCCTGGATTTCACTGCTAGCTAGACAGACTGATTCAGTGGTTCGTGCCATGCACCTGGGAAGGGGCAGCATTAGACTCCTTAGAACCCAGCGTTCCAATTCCAGCAAAGATGGCTCAGTCCTTCTTGGATAGATCAGTCCAATGGAGCTTTGCAAACCCCCATAACCACGTCCCTCTCTGTATGGACACCAGAGAGCCCACGGCACTTATTCCAAGACTGGATATTGCCCCAGTGTGCTTGATTAAAATTGTACCCCTGGGCCCCTCAGAGTACACACCCCGTAGAACAGGGTGCTTGTGCCCCCTACCCACAGGTGGATGCCATTGCTGTTGGGTGCTTCTGTAGCTACAAGGTGAGCTCACTAGTGAAGACAGCCCTGTGTCTATAAACTGACACCGTACATGGGGCCAAAACGTAAGTCACAAAAAGATTATTATTAAAAACCTGCCCCGGTTTTGTTCTCTGAAATGCTCCGTTCAAATAAATAGAAAACGGATCTCACGTCTCGCAGATCTGGTAATATTTCTCATCCCGAACGCCATCCTGGAGAGGTACGTTGACACTGTAATATCGCCCCTTCCCCAGGCCAACGTCAGTCACATCTCCTGTTCCTGAGGGACAAAAACAAACCCAAACTATCAGTCAGCTAAGGAGAAAACAAGCACAGTAACATCAGCTGCAGATCTGGGAGGGGAAGAACTGATGGCCAGCATGCTTTCAGAGAGGGCTCCGATCTACTTCCAACAGGGGAGCTTCTGGAGTTACCTCGGCCAAGAATCATCTGCCACGGGGCATGGGCTTTCACACTTCAAACCCTGCAAACTACAGCCCTGGAGAGAGGCCAGACACTGCAACCCATTAGCAACAGTGGGAGTGGAAGTGAGAGTGCCAGGCCTCCACGCAGGCTGCTAAAGCGGCAGTGGCAGACTCAGATGGCAAAGGGAGGGAGCAAAAGGGCTTTGGTAAAAGCCGCTGACCTAGTCAGGTGTCAAGGCTCTACATTTTCAAAGGCTTGTAGTAAATATTAGGTTGCCAAGCAATTACAAATGTTTTTGCTCAATAATCATCAAAACGTACTTAATATTTGTGGGTGCATTCTACGTTTTCAAACGTATTGATGTAAGTTACAACCCATAACACGACGCGGACAGAGCTCACTTTAGATTTATTTTTTGCAGTGCAAATATTTGTAATAAACAACCAGCATGTTGCACAATTCACCTAATACAAGTACCGTAGTGCAATCTTTATCATGCAAGTTGGACTTGCAAATGCAGAACTATGTGAAAAAATCACCGGAAAACTCAAACAAAGTGTGAGCGCCTAGAACAAGTTAGTTTACCTTTGCAGGAGATACTGCTACCTGCTTCTTGTTCACTGCGTCACCTGGAAGTGAGAACAGGCGTTCACCAGGCACTGCAGCAGCCCATCTCACTAGAGATGCACTAATGATTCAGACGTCCCTATAAGCTGCGCCCCCATTCCAGAAGCCAGGCACCCATGCTGACGATGGCTTCCGCTCAGTAACATCCAAAGCAGAGCGACCGACCCACCAGCCGAGTCAGGGGCCTTCAGCAGAAGGCAGATTTGCCTTTTTTCGGTTCAGGGTTTATAGTTTGGTTCAAAATGCGAGAATGTGGAAAGCAATCTACAGACAGAAGGTGCACCGCAGGCTAAGGAGACTGCGCTACGATAGTTGTATGAGCTCACTCTTTGGATTCTCCTTTGTACTCAGAACACCATTGTGCACAGTGAAATGTGCACCGTGACTGCGTCGGAACGGAAATCAGCACAGCCGAAAGGCGCTCGGTACTGGCGCCCAAGCTGGAGAGAAAAGTTCCTCTCTCAGCAAGGCGGTTAGCTCTGGAGAGCAGGGCCTGTCTCACCTTGGGCTTTGCTCGGCTGTGCACTGGCTCCCATCCACACACGCTCCGCTCTGGCCAAATGCAGTGGTGCTTTCCACAGGCAATGGCTGGCCCGTCCGACCAGCCTAAGGCCTGAATGCCGCCTGCACGCAGGCTGCCAACTTGCCTACTCCGCAGCGAGCACACAGGTCATTTGGACACCAACAGCTCTCTGACCCCCCATCCCCCACGCGCCCTGGGCACACAAGTTCTCCGGCAATCCGGGAAAGGATCAGGGAGCAGCTCAGCTTCCTGCAGTGCTAAGAACGAGGCGACGGGCCCCCCAGAAGTCCCAGCAATGGACATGGGGAGCCCAGCACCTGTGTGGACAGTCACTGGAGTACGGCATGGCTGCTCACACCCGGGCTAGGCCAACCCACATGCCAAACCTCTGCATTAACCTGGCAGTGAGAAGTGTCTGCAGAGCACCTGGCAAAAGGGGATTCCATGGGGGCCGGGCACCTGACAGAAGCAGGTCCCGTGGGGGCCGGGCACCTGACAGAAGCGGGTCCCATGGGAACTTCTGGGCATTACCAGTAACTGGTCAGAGTCTGCAAAAACACGGTGCATGCCCCACAACAAAGCCACACTCAGGGCTTCCGATTTTCACTGTAAGCAACACACAGCAATAGCAAACCAGACCCGCTGCTTGTATTCCAGGGCTCGTCCTCTCAGAGCAGCACTGCAGACTGCACATGTAGTGCACTAATTAGCCAGCGGCGACCCTGCTGCACTTTACTGTGGCGCTGGGTAACACGGGCTTGGGGAAGCAAAGCACGAGTAGTGACATTATGAACTCCTGCAAAGCAGACGCTTGGCTCTAGTGGTTACAGCAGCAGAGAATCTGGCCCGGGGTTTGCAGGCCGGCAGCTATTCTCGAGCGGCTCTGGCAGCGACGCTGCTGGCAAACATGCAGTGAAGGGACAGCTCCAGAGACGTGCTATTTTGGGCTCAGTCCTGTGAGGTGCCGAGTCCACTGGCTCCGATCCAGTACAGCTCTTAAGCATGTGCTGAACTTTAAGCACCTAAGTCGTCCCGAGGAAATCGATGGGATTGTTAAACGCTCCAAATGAAGCACGTGTGTTGTGCTGGCTCGGGGCGGGGCAGGATATGACGAAGATAAAGCTGATCTTAAGAGCTCTGTCTGGCTCCCTAGGAATCGATTCCTAGCACTGCACTGGAAGGGATTTAGACAGATTCACTGAGCATTTACAGTGCACTCGGCTCAGATGGTAAACACTAGACTCGCCAGTTTCACACACAAACAACAAAGAGTCGGGTGGCACCTTAAAGACTAGGCAAACTGGGCTCCAGGTTACTTCTGCTGAAACAGACGAAGCCTCCAAAACAGTCTGACACAGGGTTTCTGCACGGCTCTGCTGAGTTTGGGTTGCTAACAGTGCAAGGACGTGGGAACTGTCTTTACATTCCGTTACAAAAGCTGACATGAATTGAGGTGTGTCAGATTATTTAACGCTAACATTAAAAACTGGCTACGGATTTTCTTTAAACAAAACACCTGCCTGAATCCCCATGGTAGAATCCTCCCTGGGCTGCGTACAGCCCAAGCTGAGCCTCATGTCTCCTGGCTGCCAGCACCTTGCACTGCAGGAAGTGTAGACACAGCGGTTCCCAGCCTTCCTCTCCTGAAAAAGGCACAAGCCAGGGTGCCTGGCATCTCACTGCCCACTCCCCTCCAACGGTGCCCGCAGGGTGAGGTTGCTCTCAGTGCCCCTTCTGGGCTGGCGCTCCGGACCCCAGCCCAGGCAAAGAGCGGCAGCACTGGAACGGACCCAGCAGGGTCCCTTGAGGCGTAGTGTCAGGGAGAGGCTGAGGAAGTGCAGTACTGACTGTGCACACTGTTCTGGGGAAAAAAGACGCAGAAACGGGGAGGGGGGGAAGCTGGAAAGAGGGACAGGGAAAGGACTTAACCCAAATGCAGAAACTCTGCTGGTTCGTGAAAACGGAAGTTTGCTTGCCTGGGAAAAATCCTGGGGAAAACTTATGCAGCGACACAGTCATGACTTTGGAGGTGAAACTGAAGGCATCTTCCACCCCTGCCAGAGAGAGAGAAGGAGCAGCTCAGGCGTCAATGGTTCACAAGCTACACATTACGAAGGAAACGCAAGCGCATGCCCCAACCAAGCAACGGGGGGAGGGCAGATCCGACCCAGTCAATGCACGTGGGGACTTAGCGCACGGAGACAAGTTCAAATGTAATGCGGGTCACAAGCCACATGAATTTTGCTGGTCTCAGCCTCGTCTGCACATCCAGGCCTGGCAAAAGCCAGCAGCCTCGGGCTTGCCTGCTCCCACTGGAAGAGCAGAGGGCAGCCTGCAGCTCAGAATTGGGGTGCCCCAGGACAGCCTGACTCCTGATTAGAACCAGCGTGACGGGCCTCTCCCCTTCTGCAGCACACCAGTTCCAGCCCTCTTTGTAGCATGCACAGACAACGGAAAAAAGGTTGCACAAGACTTAACACAAACCAAATGTGGGGGGGAACGGACTAAAATGAAACACGCCGTAAAAGTTAGAGAGCAGGAAACGTTAAATAGGGTTGAAATAATGGCCCCAAAGCTTCAGCAAGGCCCAGTCCCGCTTTCCTTTTATGGAATCATCAGTCAGTGCTGACTGCTGCAGCCTCACAAGTCTGCACCGAGGCAGCAATGGCCGTGAGACAGTCCTGCACTCCGTGTGCAAGGGGAGGGGCAGGGTGCGCTGAGACCCTGGGCGGAGGGGCTTAAGAGAATCAGAGCTTGCTGCTTGGAATAGCTACGCTGCTCAGAACATCAGCACAAGGCCTCGGGTTGCAATAATCAGGCACAACCCCCAGGGGCAAGGCACTCACCAGAATGCAGGCATCTAAACTCTCCCTGCAGTCGATGGCTAGAGAGCTTGAAGAGCTGGGCCTAAGCGAGCGGAGGGACCCGCACCTCGTACCCTTCTTCGTCGCAAGGCAAGAGCCGCCCTCGAGGCGTCTCCTCCACACACAAGGCAGTGCCTCACTGCTGCTCACTCCCCCAGGGCACTGACGATCCCCCACCCCGCCCCAGCTCTTCACCGATACCAACCCATGTGAATCAGTCGTGCGCCCCATCGACCTGGATCTCGCCTGCCCGACAAAGACTCAACTCACTGAAGACTCCAGTCGTGGAGATTGGAGCAAACAGTTAAAAGAATCGGCCTGACTTGTACCGGCCCCCTGAAAGCGCAGAAGCCATCTCAAGGTCTGGCTAGACCCCCAGCCAACTGCGGCAAACCTCCACGAGTGAGAAGGCTGGGACTGCTCTGGATGCACCAATCCAGACCCTTACCTCTGAGGGTACCGCCACGCCCTCAGCATGGGAGAGCACCTTCAACCGGGATCAGCTGTGCGGCGGGTTCCCCTTTGAAACGCCGCCTCCGCATGTTTCAAAGGGGCCGCCGTGGAGCCCGGGGTCAGCGCAGCATTACCATTACCCCACAACCTGGGGACTCCCCAGCTGACCCTGGTTTCTGCAAACCCCCCGGGCTCCATGGCTTTGAAATGCACAAGAGCCCCCGCTGGGGAGACTTGTACATTTCAAAGCAGGCACTCCATGCAGCCCGGAGTCAGGGGACTTCTGGCCAGCCCCAGGCTGCCTGCAGATTTCCGCATTCCTCCTTGGAAATGTCCAAGAGCCTATCAACTAGTCTTTTCCAGGAGGGGCCCTAAGCTGCATCGCCTGCTCCCTCCCCTCCTACCCCTAAATAGTCAAAATAGCCTGGCTCTGCCAATCTCATCTACTTTCACAGCCTGAAGAGCACCCCTCCACCTCCTCCTCGGGAACCGCTTCCCCCTCGCCGGGGCTCATTAACTGCAGGGAGAATGTTCTAAATAGTTCTGTTCTATTCTAAACAGCAGTTCTGCTGGGGGAGACCTGGGCCCGCCTTGCACAAGTCGGGCTGGCCAGTCGCAGCTGTCCCGCACCAGTAAAGGGGAGATGAGGCTGCTCCTTCGTGCACATTGTTTGAGGACGGATATTTGTGATTTGCGGCTGAGGCATCCAGAGTGCAGGCCAGGGGCTTGCCACGTGGTTTTACAAACCCCTCGGTGATCCTGGTGCCCACAGAGGCTCCCCGAAGCAGGGCCCTCCGCGAGGCAGCCTTACCATCCCCATGATGCAAGTCCAAGTCGATGTAGAGGATGCGATCAAATTTCCGACGCAGATGCAGAATGCCCAGCACGGCGTCGTTTAGGTAGCAAAAGCCAGACGCTTCGTCTCTGCAAGGAAACAGTCGGGAAGTTAAACGTCCCCAAGCGGACACTCGACAGTTGCGCACCCGCCTTTGCCCCTGCACCTTCCACCACCGCCCCCCCAGCAGCCCAGCCTCTGGCTAGTGTGGACTGGAAGGCAGAGCAGGAAGAGATCTGAGGCCCAGCTCTCAACTAGCCCCCGGTCAGGAGCATCGAGAGCCATCCACAAACACGCAGGGTGGCTGGTCAGTTACGTGGGAGTCTGGAAACCTGGCTCCATGTCCAGCTAAATAGGAGACTGCCGGTCTCACCCTAATCCACACCAAAACGGCCACCCTGGCCTCTGGGGGCTTGACGGACGGCCCATGGCCGGTGCTGAAGAGCAGAGGGCAATCCGGAGCATTTCCCTGGCGTTACCACCACATGAATTTGGCGCTACCGTAGGGTGGCAGATTTAGGCACCGGACTGTCGAACTCCTCTGCCTGTAGCACATTACCAATAGGGAGGCAGCAGCTGGCTCTGGTTCTCAGCCCCCTTGCAGGAGTTGGCTGCCAACCCACGCTGCAGGCTCTGATACAGAGGCAGCAGCCGGCTCCCGGAGTGGGACCTAGAGCCAACGTGTAATTGTTAACAGTAACCGATAAGCTCATGCTTCTGGGTTAACCGCTGAACCGGTTCCTCCATTACACCCCTAAGCGAGACACTGCAGCGCACCTAAGGCACACACCTGCACGCGCCCAAGGCCGAGCTAACCGGCGGAGGCAGTCTCAGCGGATGGGTTAAAGTGCGGTCTGGGCGCTGGACTCCTGCTGCTAAGAACCCCCGTGAACTAGCAGCCAGCAGGTAAGTGTCGAAGCATTCGGCACTGGCCGCACTTCAAGGGAAGCAGCCAGGGCACTACTGCCCCGGGCTGGATCCCACTCCCAGCCCCAGCCGCCACCCTGGCTCCTTTTGGATTTGAGGGCTGAAATCCAGCTCTCAGCCTGCATGTGCAGGAAGCGCATCTCCCCAAGGAGGCGTTCCAATGCAGCCCTGGGGAAGAGGAGAGCAGCTTTAAAGCCCCCTCCCCCTCCAGAAAGTCTACCAGTGAGGGTGCCATTGGGGTGAGAATTAAGGGCGGCAGGAATAGTTTCTTCCTCCCTCAGGGCAAGGAGGGCCCACAAAATCAACGTGAACCGTGCTTTCCTTGGTGCCATGGACCTGCACACAGGTACATACGGGGAGCAAACGCAAGCCGTGCGGGAACGAGCTGATCTCCGCTAGCGCAGGGGACTTCTCCCTTCCCAGCTCTGCCTCCACAGTAAAGCCCCATTTGTGTGCCAGGAATTCTTCCTGTGCACAAGGCTGATTTAAGGAGGCAGCAGGCAAAGGAGTTAGAGGAACCCGCCGCCTGTGAGGAGCCAGGCATCTGTGAGCACCAGGCAGACTCAGGGGGTCTGTGGCAAGCACGGAAACCATCCAATACAGAGGCCACCTAAGCACAACCCATGGAGCTCTGGGAGAGGCAGCCCAGCATAATGGACACGATACCACAGAGCAGGAGTAGGACACCTGGCTCCCCGGTGCTGCCACTAACAGGTTGTGTGACCACGGGGCAGTCACTTAGCCTCCCCAGGCCTCAGTTTCTCCCTCAGGAAAGTAGAGGTAGCAATCATCACTCCTCTAGGAAGCCCAGCGAAGGAGAAGGAAGGAGATCGGTAACCTAGCATCCAAGACACAGTAGCGAGCCTCCTGGGCCACAAACCTTACTGTCACGTTATTGGCTTGTGAGGGGAGCAGCCGGGTCACTGCTGCACCCATGGGGGAGTGTTCGCTCAAAAGTGGTACAAAGGGGGCCACGTGAGGGGTCAAACAAAAGCTTCCTTTCCTCTGATTTTGTATCTGCTCTTCATAGATCAGCATGTGGAGTTAGGAACATGGCCCCCTTTGTACCACTTTTGGGCAAACACCCCTCCATGGGTGCAGCAGTGACCCGGCTGCTCCCCTCACAAGCCAATAATGTGACACTAACTCCCTTGCTCCTGCTAGCAGGGCATTGGGCTGAAGGAAAGGGCAGCTGCAATCCCTCCATCTTAAGGAAGTGAAGGGGAGCCCTCCAACATCTGGGACACTTTCCGGGTAACTGTTGGTGGCCCAAGTTTGAGCAGCCCTTCCCTAGGAGGCTTAGGAGGGGGCTGAAATCTAGAAGAAATGCTGGTGCCTTTCTTCTAGAGTGCAAGCCAATCACAAGCAAATCTGTGACAAAACCCCTTTTGCATGCTCAAGGCCCAGTCCCAAAAGCTGGCCTGCGATCCTGCGCGCCCAAGTCAGCCATGCGATACATCAAGAGCCTTTCTTCTCAGCCAGGGCCTTGCTCCCTTCGGCAGCTTCGCCAGAACCCTATCGTACTTGGAGCTAGGCTCCAGCAAGGCCCTGGAGCACAGCCACAAGAAGCCTTCCAGGCGGGCAGATGTTACTGGTTCCCCCTCAGTGTAGGCTGGCCCCCAGCGTGGCTGAGAGCCTGAGCCAGTCGAGTCTGTGGAGCAGAGCTGAGAGGTTCACTGCTAGAGGCAGTGTAACTCAAGAACGAAGGGTCACTCAATGAAATTAAGATACAGCAGATTTAAAACAAACCAAAGTGAGTATTTCTTCACAGAACACACAGTCAACCTGTGGAACTCCCTGCCAGAGGATGTTGAGAAGACCAAGACTATAACAGGGTTTAAAAAAGAGCTAGACAGATTCACGGAGGACAGGTCCACCAATGGCTGTTAGCCAGGATGGGCAGGGAGGGTGTCAGAAGCAAGGAATGGGTGGCAAAGGATGAATCACTTGATGATTCCCTGTTTAGTTCACTCCCTCTGGGGCCCTGGCACTGGCTCTGTGGGCAGACAGGGCCCTGGGCTGGATGGACCTTTGGTCTGACCCGGTCTGGCCACTCATATTCCTATGCCCCCTCTGGCTCAGTTACAGGCCCTCCCCGGTTCCTTATCCATGCCTGCTGTTAGCACACATCTCCAACAGGTGGAACTGACACACTAGATGGGAAGGGGTGCTGAGTTACCATGGAGACGTCTTTCCCAGGTGTCTGACTGGTGGGGTGGGTCTTGCCCACATGCCCTGGGATAACTGATGGCCATGCCGGGGTCAGGAAGGAACTTCCCCGCAGGTCAGACTGGCAGACATCCTGGAGAACGTTCACTTTCCTCTCCAGCATGGGGCCTGGGTCACTTGATATGCACTAGACTAAACGGTGGATTCTCGGGTACGTGAAGGCTTGAAACCAAGGCTTGAGGACTCTGGGGCTATGACAGGAGTGGGGAATACAGTTGTGCAGGAGGTCAGACTGGATGATCACACTAGCCCCCTCCCGCAGAAAGACAAGGCAGTAGCTGCCGCTGTCTGGCTCTCTTTGCAAGCAGAGCAGAGGAGAAACGTAAAGGAAACCAGAAGTGGCAAGTGCCCAAGTGCACCTTCCAGCAGGGAGAATTCACTGCTTCCAAGATGCCCCCGAGATTCATGGTGGATGCAAGCTTGGAGTGTGGTACCAGAGATCAAAGGGCAGCGCTGGAGCCATAAAAGGCACCAACCCTTCGCCCCAAGCCAGCCTAGGCTATTTGGAAGTAGAAGCCCTGAGCCCGTGAAGACTGTGGTTTCTGTTTCCACGTTTACGACCTCAGGAAGCAATTAAGCCAACATCCTACTTCCCCCACAAGCAGGTTATTTTGACAAAGGGGCACTTATTCTAGATACACCCATTTGGCTCAGGGCTCCAAAACAGAAGCATGTGTGCACTTAGGTGTGTAAATCCGTACAACAGTTGCAGAAAAAGCAGCAAGTAAAGGAAAGATGTAAGCTGAAGAATGGATTTATTCACATGCAGTGCTGCGTAGCAGCTCCCTCGCTAAGATAACAAGGATGGTATTAGCTAATTGCATACCCTGAGCCAGCGTGTGTCCAACAGACAAACCCTCTCGCCTCATTCTGTTGTGCACCATGCCTACCGTTTGTGAGTATTGTTCACTCTTTCAATGTGCCACTGCCCAGGCTGAATTGGAGACAGAGACCCATGATAAAAAGTGTAGGACCATCATACAATGCCTCTACCGCCCTCACAGCACTGCTAATCATTTCTGAGGACACGGGTAACTGGCGAAGTACCAACAATTAGTGAAGAGCAAGTAGAGCACCAATATGCAAAGAAAACAGGAGTCTGATCCTAGCAATGCCCATCTGAAAGCCCAAGCACAATCCCCAAGAGAAACGATGGGCCGTCCAGCATGAAGAAAGACCTCACCAAATGGACTCCAGCAACAAGCAGCAAGATTTTATAATATCTTCACATCCAGACCAAGTTCCTCCCTTCTCCACAAGTGCAATGACTTGAGGGAGGGGAACTTCACTAACAAGCCTGAGCGCTGTTGCCAAAATGGTCACCGTGCCGGGAACAGGACAATCAGAACCTTCCACCCAGATCCCCCCTTTCCAAACACCCAGCACTCCTGCCTCCTCCTCTCTCCTCCACCCCCCACGCCCAGTTCAAGTTGCCTGTCAAATGCGTAGCTCTGCTGTCAGCTCCAACCCAATGACTTTTGCAGACCAGAGCTTCTCTGGTTTTACAGCATCATTATTTCCTCTATTAAAAATGGGGGGATGGGGAAAAAACCTGGAATCATTTAACTACCCAGCGTCCCCTCTGACATTCTCTCTGCAGTTTGCTCCACCACTTTCCTGGTGCTAAAGTCAACGTTTAAGAAGCTACATTGCCTGAATGTGACCTCTTGCGGTTACAGCCAGCACCTCTGAGTACAGCGACTGAAAGGCCGCAAAACGATGGTCCCCTCCCAGACCGTTTGCTTCTGTGCATTTGGCAATGTCTTGTGGGCAGCCCAATGCCCTGCTTCCCATGAACTCAGGTTCCTGTGTTGTTCCCACTGACCTGTCCCACTGCATGGGGGAGAAATATGCAGCAGACTGAGAAAACGTCACTGCAAAGCCATTCGCAGTGGCGGGGTAAGGTAGGACTAGAGCACCATTCTGAAACTGACCAGATTGCACAGTGAGCCTGAAAAAGCCCCACAGACCCATCTATCTGCCAGAAGTGGGCCCGCAGTCTGAGTCTGGAACACAAGCCACAGCTAGCAATGGGCATCTGGCAGACCCGTGTTCGCTTGTTTGGCAGGGACACAACTTGACTTTGAGCTGGCTTTAACAAAGATCCTAGTTTAGGACTAAGCACCCATTGACAGAATAGCCAGAGGTGTTTCCTTTTAACAACCACTCTGCCTCTTCCCACCCCCAATCCACTTGTCCCCCAGTGCCTGAGGCCCCCCCCCCCCCCCCCCGCCCCCCCCCTGTTCTCCCCCCCCC